CGTAAGGATTTACACCCTCGGAAACCCTGTACAGGGTCGCTATGGGTCGGAACCGACTCGACGGCACTTAACAACAACAACAACAACAACATACATTTTAGAAATACATGAGAATATTTGAAGATGAGATAAATAGTAAAAGGAAAAAAAACTATAATTTAAACTTGGTGTTGAGTGCCAACGAGTGGGTTCTGACTCATAGCGACTCTGTATAGGGTTTCTGGTGGTTTTGAACCACCGATCTTGAAATTCAAACTGACCTTGCGGTCCAGTGCTTTATCCTACACCACTACCCCAGGACTTTATTATATCCATGCTTTTATTCTCAATTTGCATGTTTTTAAAAATAAGATACCCTACCTTCCAGATTTTTAAACAAAATACAAAATTCTAGTAGTGTTCTCTCAAGTATTCATTTTATTTTTGAAAATTTTTATAATTTTAAATACAAAGGTAAATTGAAAAGTGGATGAGTTACTTACTTTTCTATAGTAGATGACATATTTTCTCTCAACTTCTATTTCTGCATGAGTCTCATCTTTGCTTTAATTGTGAATGGAATGATAGTTTACAGGGCAAATCATCAGTTTTGCACTAAACCAATCATATTTTGTTTCATTGCCATCGCAGTGGTTACAACTGCCTCCATATAACATCAGTTAACAGTATTTACCTCTCTTCTATCTTTTTTTTTTTTTTTGTCATACCTACTTTTAATGTATAAATAAATAAAACATAAAAATACTTGCAAAATATTTTTAAAACATGCAGTCGCATATTCAGAGATTGTAAAAGTGTCCTCTGCTGTAAAAGCTTCATTGGTTTTGCTTCTCTCTAGGGAACGTAGTCTAATACAACAGGTTGTAGTATCAATTCAATATTCAACTAATCTCACTGACTGCCTATGTGTTAGTAATTGTTAACACTTTTGTTCACCTATATAATTAGTACTATCATCCTCAAAGTAGATAGTATTGATCATGAACTTCTTCAGTCATACTTTCTTACATCTAAGGATTTAATTTTGACATTAACACATGTAACTTTCCTATTCAAAAATCTAATGAATCAAATGTGTGTTGATATCTTCTTTTTCAATGAATTCTGCTCACTTTTTCCAGCATATGACCCACAAGTCTCAGTCACAAACCCCTTGTGATCAGACTTGAATATTCACTACTCATATTTTCTACATTTTATGCATTATCATTTTCATAAGAAATAATAATTATATTACTGCCTATGGTGCCAGATACATGAGTGCGCACTATTAGAAATAATATACACATAATAGTGCACACACCTGTAACTGAGGAGTCCTGGTGTGGTGCTATAGGTTAATGTGCTGGACTGCAAAGTCAGTTTGAATCGCAAGGTCGGTGGTTCAAGCTCACCGGATGCTCCTCGGAAACCCTATACAGGGTCACTATGGGTTGGAATCAACTCAATGGCACTTAGCAAAAACAATTATAACTAACCCCACATTGTCTCCCTAGCTTCTAATGGACATAATAGCTAATAATAAGCATAAAGTATGTGCTTTAGGGGTGATTGCCATCTCAAGAAACCCAGAGCTCTGTTAAGCTCTTTTGATAAAGAATGAAGGACTGTCCTCTGGCGCTAGTAACTCTAGCCACTCTAAATAGGGGCAATAAATGATGCCCATCACCTGTAGGTGGATTTCCACTTTTATTACCACCTTCTACATTTTATTGCCCCTTTTATTGCCCCTTCAACTCTACTTGCTCTCTGTACATGCTATTTGACAAACAGACATGGCTGTCAAGTTAGTATTTAATCCTGGGAGAAGAGGAATTTAGGCATTCTCCTCCCAAGACATGAATTGAGGTGTGCTTGGATATGATCTAACTCTAAAGACAGATACTTACTTGTGGGGTACCTAGGTTGATGATGATTGTTGCTGTTCTACTCAACTCTAAATCAGTTTATTCTGTGAGTAATATACGCTTGTAGATCATGTCATTAGAAGTGTCTGGTCAATGTTCTGCTCCAAATAGACCTTCACTAAAAACTTGTGAATTTAGTGGCACTGCATGTGGGTAAATCTTCCAGTTTGGCTAGTTCAAATCACAAGAATTTGCTTAATGGTAGATTTAAAAGTTTTCCTCCAAAAATTTCATATGAATAAATCCCATAACAAACAGAAAGTTTTATAAGCATCAAAGAAAATGAATAAGATCATAAGGTCTAGCATTTCAGTTTCTCTTAATGAACTACATTTGACCTCAACTTAAATTTTATCCTGATTTATTATATTTATTATTAATACAAGTATAAATTTTTAATTACTAAGTTTTGTCATTTAGTTATATATATATATATAAACTAGCCATAAATTATTTAGTAGATTGACATTAATGTACTTATTAAAAAGGAGTATTAACAGAAGTTATATTGAGTATCACACAAGAGCAATAAATTTGTTTGAAAAACTATATAATCTAGATATTTCTTTCTAGTAATATACAGAATAGCTAAGGCTTCATAAAACTACAAATAAATTCAAATAATTTATTGCAGTAATAAAGAATGTAATGGAAGAGATGACTAAAATTAAACAGATAATCTATTCTTCAGTATGCCTTGTAATTTTATAACTCAATTTTTATTTCTGAACATAATGCTTAAATTAAGGTTGAATTCTGGTCTTAGATGAACCCTAAATATTCAATTAATATTGCCTATTTTACTGTGTATCAGACTTATGTATACTTTGATAGAATAACACTGATGTTCTTAGAAAAATCACATGAGGTTTCTGGGGAGAAAGTCAACAAATATTTATTTTTATTTTCTTAAACTTTCTTTAATGAGTTAAGTGAAAGTTTACAGATCAAGGCATTTGTTTGACATTCAATAAATCAGACACTGTATTTCATCACAACTGCAATCCTTCCATGTAACCACAGGTGGTCCACTTCCTCCCTGTGGTTCTTGTTTACAGTTCTCCTTTTTCCTCACCCTTCGGAATTTTCTCCTTGGGTAAAGGCTGATCTTTTCATCTAGAATGGTTAGCCATTCTATGGTTTGCGTTCCTCACTAGTATTGTTGTCCCCCTATGTACCTGTCTATTGCTTGGCTGAAATTTGAGCCACAGGTATGAGCTCACTTCCAGACCTGAAGGGAAACCAAGGGCTATTGTCTTGGGATTTCATCAGTCTCAATCTGACCAGTAAGTCTGTAGACAAGTAATTCTTCTGAACACTTTTTTAAATACATATATAATTACTCAATTCAAAGCAATGATATTTTGTTAAATCACTTGTTTTATGTTCTATAAAATCCAAAAACTATGTCCATTTATACTGAAGAAAAACTGTGGGTTGGAATACTGAGGGATATGGAAGAACCTATTGTTACTGTGTCCCATAAAGGCTATTTCAATTGACAGCAACCTATGGAGCACAGTACAAGTACCCAATAGAATTTCGTATGCTGGCATTTTGACAGGAGCAGACCACCAGGTCTTCTCTCCCACAGCGGCTAGTAGCTTCAAACCACCAACCTATCGGTTAGTAGCCACACACTATGCCTGGGCTCCTTAGGGAAGAACGCTTGTAGAGCACATGTTTCCAAAGCTTATTTGCCATTTGATAAGTATAACTTTCGCAGTCCAAATTTGCATGTATGTATATGCACATACGTGTGTGTGTGTGTGTGTGTGTGTGTGTGTGTGGCACTGTGGGCTAAAGCACTGGACTGAAAGGTCCATTTGAACGGCAAGGTGGTTGGTTCAAACTCACCAGTTGCGTCTCAGAAACCCTATACAGAGGCGCTATGAATCGTAACTGACTCGTCAGCATTTAACAAAACACATATTTATGTATGTATGTGTTCCGTGTGTGTGTGTGTGTGTGTGTGTGTGTGTATTCCAAATAAACCACTGTCATCGAGTCAATTTCAACTCATAGTGACCTGACATAGAGTTTCTGACTTACAGGGCAGAAAATCTAGATTTCTCCCACAGAAGGACTAGTGGGTCTCAACTGCCAGTGTTGTGGTTAGCAGTCCAGTGATTATCTTATAGCACCCTGTTCTGTTGTTAAGTGCTGTCAAGTTTGTTCCAACTCATAGCGATCCTATATAGTGTTTCCTATATAGGATTTCTGAGGAGCAACTCGTGGGTTTGAACCATAGATAGATCTTGCGGCTCAAACTGACCTTGCAGTCCAGCACATTATCCTGCAGCACACACCAGGATCACTAGGACTTCTTATATTAATAAGTATTATGTACGTATGTATGTATCACATGATGATCTCAGAAACGAGTTTAAAAAGTTAGAGAAAACTCATTTTATTTCCAGAATATCCTGGTGTGGCACTGTGGAATAATACACTGGACTGGAAGGTTGGTTTGAAACGCAAGGTCAACAGTTCAAATTCACCAGCTGCTCCTCAGAAACTCTATACAGGGTCACTATGAGTCTAAACCACTTAACAACAACAAATATATAAATATATATATATATATACAAAGACAAAGATGTAACCTCAGAAAAGTTTACCAGTATGATTCTAATACGTAACAAGTCCTGTTCTTCGTTTCAGAATTTAAAATCGATTTACCTTGAAAAGCGGCTGCATTTCGAGAGATCAGAAACTTCAATGTAGAACTGGATGTTTGAAGGACCTGCTGCATGTCCTGACCAGCTGCAATCTGATATTGCTCCTCCATCTTCTTGGTACAGCATGTGGGGTTTTTGGATATGCAAACCTGAAGGTCAGATCCTAGAATACATACAATATTTTCCAGAATTATTATCAGTGCATTTAGCAAGTATCACATACTACATGCCAGGCATTAAGAGCAGCCTTCCCACAATGCATTCATGTTCTAAATGAGAAATTGAGGTAACAGGGCACAAAAGGAAGGGCTACAAGGAAATGTATCTATTGTTCACTAACACAACTTTCTAAAACCATTAACTATGTGTTATTTCATTTACATTTTGATCAAATATTAATTAAGTCCACCTAACAGAAAACTCAAAGGTACTTTCAATATTCTCCATCAACACCATAACTCAAAAGCATCAATTCTTCCATGGTCTTGCTTATTCTCTATCCAACATTCACATGGATATGAGGTTATTAAAAATACCATGCCTTGGATCAGGCACACCTTAGTCCTCAAACTGACACCTTTGCTGTTCTACACTTTAAAAAGATCTTGTGCAGCAGATTTGCCTAATGTAATACATTTGAATTCTTGACTACTGCTTCCATGAGTGTTGATGGTTGTCTTTGAGAACTTCAATCTTTTCTCCATTTATATGGATGTTATTTATTGGTCCATTGGTGAGAATTTTTGTTTTCTTTACACTGAGGTGCAATCCATCAGAAGGCTATGGTCTTTGAACTTAATCAGTAAGTATTTTAAGTCCTCTGCCCTTTCAGCAAGCAAAGTTGTATCATCTGCATATCACAAAAGTTGTTAATGTGTCTTCCTCTAATCCTGATGCCACATTTTTCTTCATGTAATCCAGTTTCTCAGATTATATGCTCAGCATACAGATTAAATAAGTATGCTGAAAGAATACAACCCTGGCATACACCTTACTTGATTTTAATCCATTCGATGTTCCCTTGTTCTGTTCAAACAACAGCCTATTGGTCTATGCACAGGTTCCTTGTGAGCACAATTAAGTGTTCTGAATACTCATACTTCACAATGTTGTCCATAGCTTTTCATGGTCCACACAATCAAAAGCCTTTGCATAGTCAATAAATCATAGGTAAACATCTTTCTGGTATTCTCTGATATCATACAAGATCCATCTGATGTAAGCAATGATATCTCTCATTCTACCTCCTCTTATGAAATCAGCTTGAACTTCTGGAAGTTTTCTGTCAGTGTATGTTTGCAGTCATTTTTGTATTACCTTTAGTAAACTTTACTCACATGGGATATCAGTGATATTGTCTGATGATTTCTGCATTCCATCGGGTCACCTCTCTTTGAAATGGGCACAAACAGATCTCTTTTCTAGTCAGTTGGCCAGGTAATTGTCTTCCAAATTTTTTAACATAGATGAGTGAGTGCCTCCAGTGACACATCAGTTTTTTGAAAGATTTCAGTATGTAGTCTATCGGGTCCCAATGCCTTGTTCTTTGCAATGCCTTCAATACACTTCTTCCTTCAGGATCATTGGCTCTTGGTCATATGCTACCTCTTAAAATGGTTGAACGTCAACCATTTATTTTTGGTACAATGACTCTGTGTATTCCTTCCATCGTCTTTTGATGCTTTCTTCATCATTCAGTATTTTGCACATAGAATTCTTCAACACCACAAGTCAAGGTTTGAATTTTTTCTTCAGTTCCCTAACCTTGAGAAATGCTGAGCATGTTTTTCCCTCTTGGTTTTCTAACTCCGGGTCTTTGCACTTTTTGTGATAATATTTGACTCTGTCTTCTCAAGCTGACTTTTGAAATTTTCTATTCAACTCTTATATCTCCTCACTTCTTCCATTTGCTTTAGCATCTCTATGCTGGAGAGCAAATTTCAGAGTCTCTTCTGAAATCCACTTTGGTCTTTTCCTTCTCTCCTGTCTTCTTAATGACCTTTTGCTTTCTTTCTATATGATGTTCTTGATGTCATCCCACAACTTTTCTGTTTTTCGATTTTTAGTATCTAATGCATCAAATCTGTTTTTCAGATGATCTCTAAATTCAGGTGGGATACAATTACGGTCATATTTTGGTTCTTGTGGACTTGTCTTCATTTTCTTCAAATTCAGCCTGAATTTGCGCATGACCAATTGATGGTCCGTTCCACAGTCTGCCTCTGGCTTTGTTTGGGCTGATGATACAGAGCTTTACCACCGTCTCTTTCCACAGATGTATACAGTTTAATTTTTTTTAATGTTTTATTGTGAATTATGTGATAGTTTACATGGGAGAATATTAGCTTTACATTCATCCTATCGTATATCATTCCATTGCCATGGTTACAATCCCCTCCATGCATCATCAACCAACCAAAGGGTACCCTACAAGATTGCCCCTCTGTCATCAGCACACAGACCTTCTCCCACTCTGTGTCTAGAGTTCACAGCTGCTTAATCTCTCCACGTCATCATCTCTGCCTCCATTTCTGGTGTCACTTTTTCTCTAGGTAGGGTCCCACTCTCTGCTGTTCTCCCTTTATGGTCCCAGGGAACTTGGCTCCTGGACTGCAAAGTCAATCACGACCCTCCTTGTGCTACAAAATATCTACCTTTACATTTCCAACCCTCAGTCCTGATACCAATTATTCACCATTGTACCACAAGAGATCTATCCCCATTTCCTTTCATCAACTCCACCCAGACAGATTGGACACTACTCAGTGGAGATTCTATTTTCCTCCACACCCTCTGGATCTAGGCTCCCTCTTGAAAGCTTGTAAGCCAGTCACTTCTTGCCTTTGCAGCCCCCCTCCCCTATTTTCGGTAGACAATGTCCAAGTTTCCCATCCCTGGCAGGCAGTTTAATTTTTGTGTATTCCATCAAGTGAGGTCCATGTGTATACTTGTCTTTTATGTTGTTTTAAAAAGGTATTTTCAATGAAGAAATCACTGGTTTTGCAAAATTCTATCATGTGATCTCCAGCATTATTCCTATCACCAAGGTCATATATTCCAACAAGTAATCCTTGCTGTTTGTTTCCAAACTTTGCATTCCAATTGCCAGTGATTATCAATACATCTTGACTGCATGTTTGATCAATCTCAGACTGAAGAAGTTGGTTTGTTGTTGTTGTTAGGTGCAATCGAGTCAGTACAGACTCATAGTGACCTTAGCACAGCAGAACAAAACACTGCCTGTTCCTGGAATAACCTCACTACTGTTGCCACGCTTGAGTCCATCGATACTGCCACTTGGCCAATCCATCTTCTTGGAGGGGTCTTCCTCTTTTTCTCTGACCCTCCACCTTACCAAACATGATGTCCTTCTCCAGCGACTGGTCCCTCCTGAAAATATGTCAGAAGTATGAGAAACAAAGTTTGGCCATCTTGGCCTCTAAGGAGCACTCTGGCTGTACTTCTTCCAAAATGGATCTACTGATTCTTTTGGCTGCCCATGGTACTTTCAATATTCTCCACCAACACCATAACTCAAAAGCATCAATTCTTCTATGGTCTTCCTTATTCACTGTCCAGCTTTCGCATGCATATGAGGTTACTGAAAATACCTTG